GGACTCAAAATAGTTTCCCGCATTTTTGCGCCAAAGAAAACCGACCAAAGTTGGTCGGTAAATTAAAAATTTAAAAACTTTAAAAAACCGACCAACTTTGGTCGGTTTTTGGCCGGTTTTTTTACCGACCAAAGTTGGTCGGTTTTTCTTGGTCGATTTTTGTCGAATTTCTAGTAGTGTTGAGACATTTCTTGGCTCGAGGGTGATCAAACTTAGAAGCTAAGGCTGTTCAATTTTGTGGTTTGCATTTATTTTATTATCGTTAATTTTAATAATAATCTGTCTCCTTAATTTGTATTAAGTTATATCACGTATCCTTAAAACCGCGTGTAAATTCAGTTGTTATCCAATTTTAAGGGTAAACAGAAGCATGTATATATAGGAAAACCTGAATGCAAGCTCAGCTGATCGAGAAAGCATCAGCTACCAATGTGTCTTTCATGTGCCAAATCAACTGATGAAGATGAAGAATCAAGTAAGTAGCAACAAGTTGATCATGATGTAATATACTAATAATGTTTTGCTTTCAGTACTTTCAGAAATTAAATAATTAAATTAAAGAGTAGGCTATTAAGAGTAAGTTTCATTCAAATTTTCCTCTATTGCATCTCTTCTTACTGGTTAATAATACATATACTAAATAAAATTAAAGACAGTGATAATCAAGGTTATCCCTAAAATCAAATGTTGAAGAAATATAGCGATGCACTCGAGTCATTTTCGATTGGGCATTATGTCTAAGTGCAGCAAGTAGTTCAAGACTACTCAACCATTGGTTTCTTCCGGAAATTAGGTCAAAAGTATTCTTAGATAAATTCCTACTTGTATGATGCTTTCAAGGATATAAATCTATCTGTAATTTACGATCTGGGACTATTTATTAATTTTTTAGTATATTATATAATCAAAGTTAAAATTACATAGAACAAACATGTAACTCTTCGTAGTAAACCTGATGTCAATATGCTATAGGCGATTAAGCTAAACTAATAGTGAAAAAATTTCTTTATCACCATTAATGTATATAACTTAAATTCCTTAGTTTTATGAATTACACCTACTTTTTCTTTTTCTTTTCTTTTCTATTTTTTGCTTTTCCTGTTTTCTCTTCATTATTATATTATCTTTGCCAAACTTCTTGGAAAAATTTGTGCAGAACCAAAATATATGTTTAAATAGTTGTAGATTTTCAATTTTATTTTGCATAAAGTTTCAGCTGAATTTTGTTTAAAAAAAGTCTAGAAAACTTAACCGATCAAGTTTTTATATATAATCTTTTTTAGTATTAAAAGAGAACTTTACACAACAATCCGGTAGTAAATTAAAAAAGATAAAAGAATATGAAAAGAGTAACCTCAAGAGCTTATCGACGTAATAATTTCAATTTTACCATTTCTTTGTAGAACGTTTTAAAAATATAAATTGACAAGTTGGCTCCTGATATTTAAGGTTGTTACTCTATTTTGTGTCAACCAACTAAGGTTATGTTATCCCCAGATAAATGGATTTGACACAGATAAGAATCAAAATAGCTATTAAATATTTTAAGCAGTTTCAATACATTTTTATTGAATAAATTATTGTTAGTGGAATGTGTTGATGATTTAGGCTGTAGAGCAATATGGATGTCTGGCACCCCAGCTACAGAATAAGTCCTTACTATATATATCCAAACAAAAACTTCATCCTTTGCTACAATATAAATGTAAGAGCTGATATAGATCAAGCCTTGCACTCGTTGTCTTTTGAAAGTTTAAATTAGAATTAATTGCAATAATTAGTTCTTCTTCTCTCCTTTTGGGGGAGAAAAAGGGCAAAAAAGATAATTTGGGAATAATTTCAGAAAATTTCCCAAAACAAATAACGATAAAAAAATAAAATTATGTATGCACTATAAATTGTTTTTCTCATGAAAAGAGTCAAACTTTTGATCTTACCTTTGCTTCCATAAAATGTAAAATCTCCTCGTTTATTACACTAACATACATAAAAGAAAATTAAAGGTGTATGTTTGCTTTTATGTTTAAAATACAGGAAATATATCCAAAGAAAGCCACAACTGTGTGTTAGGAACATGCCTAGAAATTAATCGGAAGGTTCGTTATCTCTTTCGTAGCGTATTTGATCAATATTCAAGCACTGAATACGTATGACTTAAGTGTGGTTAAACCTCAAATTATTGGAGTTCTCATTATTATAACAAGCGCTTTTTAACTTTTCCGGATGCTTTATCGAAGAAATTAGTTTATAATGGGCACTAGGATATTGGTAATTATTGCCTTTATATTACTTATCGCTTGGAAAAGGTAAATCTCCTATAGCTTTATCTCGAACACTATTAGTTTATCTCGAACTCTTTTCCATTTCGAGGATGGGATTTGTGTCTTATTATTTTCCCGATACGATCCTCAATCCCCCGCTTCCCACCTCCCCCACAAAATAATGTTTACCTAAAGAAAGAAAACGCAAGAGCATTAATCGAATGGGTAGGGAACCCACTATGATCAATAATAGAGATGTAATGATAAAGTAATTGAAAATAAGATGCAAGAGCACAATAATCATTTAGAAGACCAACCATGTGAAAGATGCTAATCCAAAATTTCAGACAATGGGAAAGTACTGTTCTAGCTTGTGCAACCTTGCACAAGTAGCTGTTGTAATATTATGGAAGAATTAGATGATTCAGAAAAAGACCTTTTTACATTTTATAGGAGGTATTGATTGAGCTTCTCAAAATGATGCCCTTGCCCTGTTTGTTGATGATATAAAAGTAGGAACAATTTGATTGAATTTGGTAGAAGAATGACCACGTGTTATTTCAAACCAGACATTCTAAAATGGTAGGGAAAGTGAAGTCAGAAGAGACAACTATGGTGTCAGCAACACAAGGGGTGCATACAGCATTTTGATAGACGTTCTTTTCTTAAATTCATCTATGTTACGCGGAGGTTTCAGAATTTCAAGGTGATGGGTATACTATTGTGAAAAAGTGGATTTAGAATTTACATTAGATGGGTTTAACTTTAGTCTCTTACAATGAATCCACTACACTTTTGAAACAACAACAACAACTATCCAGTAAAATCCCACAAAGTGGGGTCTGGGGAGGGTAATGTGCACGCAGACCTTACCCCTACCCCGATAGGGAAGAGAGGTTGTTTCCGATAGACCCTCGGCTCAAAAAGACGGAACACTTTTGAAACTAAAGGTTCAAAATTATATTCTTTTTGAAATTTTAGTGATTTACACACACACACACACACACACACACACACACACACATATATATATATATATATATATATATATATATATATATACTCTATGCCAAAAACAAGACTGTCTGAAGTGGGATTTGAACCGTCAATTTCACTTTTTGAGGTGCACCCAATAATCATTACATCATAGGTAGAGATGATTAGCGGGTGGATTGGACAAATATTTATGCTAACGGTTTGGCTTATCGGTTTATAAATGTAGTAATCCGCTAGCCAACCAATAAAACATCAGGCGAGATATCAAATTATCGATTATCGGGCGGTTTATCGGATTATCGATTAAGGGAAAATTTGGAGTAAAACATCACATTATTTTTGTCTTTGCAATGATTCTAGATGAAGTAAATGAAGCTCTTTGTATTGAAAACAGAACAAACTGAGTAAGACTAGTAAATAGAAATTGAACCTCAATAAAGATGCTCTTCAAAACCGAACTAACTGAGTAAGGCTTAAATTCTTGATTTTGCTTTGTTTGCAAATCAAATTCATTCAAAGCTGGAGTGGGTGTGGTATTTGGGCAACAAGATTATCAACCACCTTTAGCTTAAATCTTATACTTGTATATATAGAAGTAGCAGACTAACAGTACTACTCTGTCCCAACTAACTTGATGTTTTATACTTCAATACCACACAAGAGGGGGGAGGGGGATGATTTGTGTGGTGACCAACTTTTCGCTTAAATTGTTTATGGAAAGACCCGGTTCTTCTATGTGTTCCTTAACCTACTATTGAAGAAATAATAAATGCGGAAAGTAAAGAACACAAGTATTTTACGTGAAAAACACCTGGCTCAAAAGGTAAAAAAAGCACGACCTACTTCCAGTAGGATTTTCCCAAACTCTCCACTAAAATCAATGAGCCAAAAACTGCATTTACAAAAACTCTTTTGTAAACCTAGGACTAACTTTAATCCCGTTGTAGCACACAGCCTCAACTGTTGCGACAACTTTAAGTTAACTCTAACTTGAAAACTCTGAGTACCTAATACAATTGCTTCTAGATAAAGCTGAAAGGTACAATATATAAACACCTACTACAATTGAACTAGAATAAAAGACAGACACTTGGCACTGGTTCTTCTATCTGGTTCAAGTAGCTTCAGGTGTGCACGCTTGAATCACACACAAATTGCTTGCAAAATTGCCTTTCTATTTTGCTCTTAATTCACGTTTAACTTCTGTTTATATGCGTTACCTGTAAAAGAGAACAACACTGATAATTATGGAGTTAGTAAATAGAGATTGACTAGAAGTCTGATGCTACTCTTCCTTGGTGGAAGAGTTATAGTTAATCTTAACCTCTAACTCCTCCTCTTTCTTACGTCGTGTTCTCTTTGAGTAAGGAGTCCTTGTCCTTATCCAATATGTAACCTTTTCGATGAGGATCAGGAAATATCACTTCTGTTAGGTTAAGTTTATCTCTTTCACGTGCATCTCACATGCTTGAGTTAACCATATCTGTTCTTCACTAGTATGGACCTGGTCCATGTCTGAGTTCCTTTGTCGGTCTTCAACATCAATGCAAAGTTAGAAATTTTTCACTTATCATCAAGGACCAGGTTCATTAGGTTATAAACATCACTATTCAGAATATAAAGCACATATCTTTTCCCCCTTTTGGCATCATCAAAAAGTTGCATAAACAAAGTGTGATCTCCAGATTTTAAAAATTACTCATGGACATTGGGGCAACTGCAAATGCATTCATGGATTAATCATCAGTAATCAGCTACACATTCAGACTATCAAGAAAAAATAAACAGTCAACAAGAGCAAAAACAGCAAACTTCATTGATAGAGAATATGATTCTGCCACAATCCACAAAAAGAAACAAAAATAGTTAAAACATGAGAAAAACAAAAAAATCCCTAATCTGGCTCACTGAAGGGTCTGGACAAGGTTTAGGAAATGAAGGCTAAGTCAATTAAGGCTTGGAAGAACTAGAGGGTTGGGCTTTGGCTTGGAGAAGGTGCAGCATGTCTTGAAGAATGCCATCATTCTTCTCCTTTTCCTTCGTGAGCTCAGTTCTGAGAGCATCTCTCTCAAATTTAACCTCTGCCAAACGAGTCTTCAGCCTTGCTATCTCAGCACCCTTTGCCCCACTCTCCTGTAATAGAGCTCTGACCTTGCTATTGATAGGTGTCTTTATAGATGAACCTGGTTCATTGGGAATGGCATTGACCTCATAATCACAAGCAATCAGAGTATTGATTCTAAAATGGTCTTTGCTTGTGGCCATCTCCCACTTCTTCAGTGGCACCTTACAACGAGCAAGAACAGTAGTGAGAATGAAACCATAAGGTATGGCATGGGCCTTGGAGCCATTGATGACCCTATCAAGTAGCTTGATCATAAATCCAGGCCAGTTGATCTGCCACCCACTTTCAAGATACTCCATCAAAACCAAGTCCATGTAGTTGGCAATGTGCCTTCTTTCCTGCCTAGGCAGCAAACACTTGTTGACAAATTCAAACAGGACTTTTTGGCATGGCTTCATTTCACTCTTATACACAACCTTGGCCTCATTCACTTCTGTGCTATCACAGAACTTCCTAGTAATGGCAAGGGTAGTGGGAAGGGAGTCCAGACTTGGCCATCTTTGCCTTGTGTAGTCATCATACCATTCAGAAGGAATGTCAAGGATTTCCAGCCTTTTTGCATCAACAGACACTTGAACCCCTTTCACCTAGCTGGTAACTCTGCCATCCATGACCTCTACATTGGCCATGAACTCAATAATCTCATTCCTTGCCAGCCTGCCATCCAACTGAAGGACCATGTCCTTCCATCCCAGAACAGCTAGAGCATCAACCAGTCGAACCATCCCTGGTTCTTCCAAATCCTTCAAAAGTCTACCCTTCAAGATGGTTCGTTTTCCAAACTTGGCCAGCTTGTCTTGTTCATTATCAGATTCACTCTCTTCTTCACCACTCCAATCTTCCTCCTCAGTGATTTTAACTTGCTTGGCTTTCACAGCAGACCTTGTCCTTTTAGCCAAAGGAGGTTCAGCAGTCTTAGATACAGATGAAGACTTCTTGGAGGAAGTCTTGATCTTCTTGGGCTTAGGGGTTTGCACCTCCACAGTCAGATGTTCACCCTAATGGACCGGGTCCATCTCATCCACATCAACAGCCTCAACAGGCTCTGCAACCTTAGCTTTCCCTTTGTCCATTCTTTTCTTCTTGCTTTCTTCCATAGCTTTTTGCAACTCATCCTTACTCCTCTTCAACTTACTCCTTGTGGCTCTTCCTTTTGGTAGAGGAATATCAGCAGTTGTTGGAGAAGTAGCCTTCCTTTTCTTGGTAGTTTTTCCAGTGCTAGGAGCTTTTGGTGTTGGAGTTCTCCTTTTCTTGGGGTTATAGAATACACCCACTTTCTTCAGAAGGTCTGCTAGGGTCTCCTCAATAGATGAACCAGGTTCATCTGCTTGTGAACTGAGATTGACAAGCTCTTCAGCTTCCTCCCCTGAATCACTTCCCCCTGTTTTCTTGCTACTTTCTACCACCTTTTCATGCTCAGCCCCATAGATAGCCATTCTAACCATTTCAGAAGTGGGTGAAGAATCAGCCACTTTCTTCCCTTTTTTCCTCACATCGCTACTCACACCCTCACTCTCCTTTTCTTTTTCACTTTTATTTTTAACTCCTCTCCTTCTTGACTCAAACGTTTCCACATTCACAACAGACCCAACCAAAACGAAATGATTCTCCAGATTTTCAACTAGAAAAGAACGTACCTCAGAAGGGGGATTTTGCACAGATGTTGCCTGTTCAGAGTCAGAAGATCCAGTTCCTTCCCCCTCCCTCGCAGACTTGAAAGAATCATCAGAATTTTCAGAATCTTGGGCTTGACTAGCCTTTAATTTTGCATTTAGTTTCTTTGAAAGCGCACCTGTAGCCACAGTTTTGCGAGCAAGCATCTTCACTCGCCTTCTCCTAGGTTGGGGGTTGTGCTGGGTTGAGGAGTAGTGGAGGAATCGGAGGGGGTTGGTTGTGGAGGAGTGCCTGGGTTATCTTGGGGGTTGGTCATCTTTGCTAATTCTGGAAGAGAATTTTTGAATTGAGTTTTGGAAGAGAGAAGAGTAGAGAACAAAAAAATTTGACGGTTTTGAGAATTATGGGAGTGGCAGTGGTGATGATGATGGATTTTAAAGGGAGAAGGTTAATTAATGTCCAACGGCAGCTTTTTGTAGTCAATTAGAAGTCCAATTACTCTGAAATTTTTCAGGTTGAAAGGGTGGTTAGGCTTCCCTAGATTCTAGGCATTTTTATACGGTGAGGATTCTAATTGAAACGGAACTGGTTCAAACTCAAAAGGATAGGTTTTCCTGAAGTTTTTGGACATAGTTAGGATTCTGCTCATGAATTAAATATTAATATTTCTAATTGTGCAGAGTGTAGAAAACATACCTCGTTATTCAGATGAACCAGTACTGATGAACTAGGTTATTCACTAAGAATCCTCTTGATCATGCCTCAATTTGCCAAAATAGAAAATTTTTTGTTAGAGATCAGTAAGTATATCAACACATGGCACAGAAGTATACTATTTACAGTATGAAACTGAGCAAAAATTAATCTAGATATTTACACAAGTTCCAGATTTCCAAACCAAAAACAATTTTTTTTTCATTTTTTTCATTTTTTTTCATAGTGCATTCTGAACTGGTTTCATTAGGTGATCTTAATCATCCCTAGTTCTAACCTGTTCCTTTCAAAGCTTTCTCTACTCAGGGCTTTTGTAAAAATGTTAGCAATCTGCTTATCAGTAGCACAAAGTTCTATAGTGATCAGTCCTTTCTCATAGTTGTCCCTTAAGAAATGGTGTCTAACATCTATGTGCTTAGTTCTCTTATGATGAATCGGGTTCTTAGTCATACTAATAGAACTAGTGTTACCATAAAAAATAGGGATGCAACCAAAATCCATCAACTACTGTTTGATCCATAGCAATTGGGCACAGCAAGAGGCAGCAGCAACATACTCAGCTTCAGCAGTAGATAAAGCCACTGAATTTTGCTTTTTAGTGGCCCATGACACCAGACATGAACCAAGAAGTGTGCCATACCTTAGGTGCTTTTCCTGTCCACAAGGAAACCTACATAGTCAGCATCAGCATATCCCACTAGATTAAAGTTACTACCTTTTGGATATTGGATACCAAAGGCAAAGGTCAGTAGTGCCTTTCAAGTATCTCAATATTCTCTTGACAGCAGTCAAGTGAGATTCCTTTGGATTTGCTTGAAATTGAGCACAAAGCCCTACACTAAAGACAATCTCAGGTCTGCTAGCAGTAAGACACAAAAGTGAACCAATCATACCCCTATGCAACTTCTGATCAACAGGTAAACCAGGTTCATCTATGTCTAATTTTGTGGCTGTTGCAATAGGAGTGTCTATTTCCTTTGATTCGTCCATTTTAAACTTCTTAATCAACTCTTTTGCATATCTGTTGATGGATCATGGTTCCATTTGAGTTTTGTTTAATCTAAAAGCCTAAGAAGAAGTTAAGCTCACCCATCATACTCATTTCAAATTCACTCCACATTTAATTTAGCAAATTCCTTACTAAGTTTTTCAGTGGTTGCCCCAAAAATTATGTTATCAACATATATTTGTACCACCAGAAGATCCTTACCTTTTTCCCTAAAGAATAGAGTACTATCAATTTTACCTCTCTTGTAGCCATGTTCAAGCAGGAATTTGGATAGTCGTTCATACCATGCTCTAGGAGCCTGCTTGAGTCCATAGAGTGCCTTGTCCAGTTTGTATACATGATCTGGACACTCCTTGATTTCAAACCCTGGAGGCTGTTTGACAAATACTTCTTCCTTTAAGTAGCCATTTAGGAAAGCACTCTTGATGTCCATCTGGTGAAGAGTAAATTCCATGTGTGCAGCAAAGGCTATGAGGAGGCTTATTGCTGCCATGCTTGCAACTGGAGCAAAGGTCTCATCATAGTCTATGCCCTCCTCTTGGCTATAACCTTGAACCACCAACCTTGCTTTATTCCTTGTAACAATTCCATCTTCATCAAGTTTGTTTCTGAAGACCCATTTAGTGCCAATTACTGATCTGTCCTTGGGTCTTGAAACCAGATGCCAAACTTGACTCCGTTCAAACTGAGCGAGTTCATCTTGCATTGCATTTACCCAGTCTGCATCCTGCAAATCCTCAGCAACATTTTTAGGTTCAGTAAGAGATAGGAATGTATCAAAAGCACACAAATTCTTTAATTGAGATCTAGTTTTGATTCCAGAAGTCGGGTCAGTAATTATGTTCTCAATGGGATGAGAACTTTGATACTTGTGAGGTTTCACAACCAACTGGTTTCTGCTTAATGTTTCTCCTATGTTTTGTTGTTGAGGAACATGCTCATGGACAGGTTCTATTTGGGAGTTAGATTGAGTTATTCTTTGTTCAGTTCCCCCTGTCAGGTTGCCCTGGATGGAAGAACCTGTTCCATCACCTGTTCCATCACCTGTTCCTTCTTCTGGTGCAGCATCAGCTTGGGCTGTGACTTCATTTAAACCTTTTACCAGCCCAATAGCTTCATCTTCATGTTCCTGTCTCTCAAAAAGAATGTTAGTTTCATCAAAAATTACATGTACACTTTCTTCTACACACATAGTTCTTTTGTTGTACACTTTATAAGCTTTGCTATGTGAAGAATATCCCAAAAGTACTCCCTCATCACTTCTGGGATCAAACTTACCTAGGGAGTCCTTTCCATTGTTGTGCACGAAGCACTTGCATCCAAATGCTCTAAGATGGGATATATTTGGTTTTCTCCTTTTAAGTAACTCATAGGGAGTCTTCTGTACAAGAGGTCTAGTCATGCACCTATTAATGATGTAACATGCAGTGTTTACAGCTTCTGCCCAGAAGCTATGGGCACTTTACTAGAAAGAAGCATAGTCCTAGCCATATCTTCAAGTGTCCTATTCTTTCTTTCAACTACTCCATTTTGTTGTGGAGTCCTAGGGGCTGAAAAATTATGATCTATGCCATGCTCATCACAAAATTCAGCAAACTTAGAATTTTCAAATTCAGTTCCATGATCAGACCTAATTGATGCAAGTTGATTACCTAGTTGTTTCTGAGTTTTTCTAACAAAAGAAGTAAACCTGTCAAATGCTTCATCCTTAGAAGTTAAAAACAATGTCCAAGTAAACCTATAGTAGTCATCAACAAGCACCATCACATATTTTTTACCACATCTACTTAATGTTCTCATTGGACCACAGAGATCCATATGAACCAGTTCCATCGACCTGGTCGTGCTTACCACTTTCTTGCATTTAAAAGAGGATCTTACCTGCTTCCCCCTTGCACAAGCGTCACAAACTTTGTCTTCCTTGAACTTGATGTTAGGCAGCCCTATCACCAGGTCCTTGGAGACTAATTTGTTGAGTTGACTTAGACTTGCATGTCCAAGTCTTTTGTGCCAGGGGAGGGGATCATTGTCCAACACACTTAAGCAAGTGAGTTTATTTTCTGAAAGAGTGGACAGATCTACAATGTATATATTATTTGCTCTTTTTCCCTGCAAAACAATCTTGTCAGTGGTAAGATTTATCATAAAACATTTGGTAGAGGTGAATGCTACCAAGTTACCTCTGTCACACAGTTGTGATACACTGATTAGGCTATATTTCAAGCCATCTATCAGGTAGACATTCTCAATGGAGTGTGAGTCTGTCTTACCTACCTTTCCAACCCCAATGATCTCACCTTTCTTACCATTTCCAAATGAGAGATTACCTCCTTTTAGGTTCTCAAGTGAAAGGAACTGGTTCTTGCTTCCAGTCATATGCTTTGAGCAACCACTATCCATGTACCATATTTGGCTGCTCCCCTTCACTTGGACCTGCAAAAGGAAATCAGGGGTTAGTCTTAGGAACCCAAACTAGTTTGGGTCCCTTTTTATAGGCAAAAGGTGTGAATTAAATTCCTTTTAGCCCATCCTGGCAGCCTATTTTTCCCATGAATAAAAGTTTTGTTCTTTTGACTGCCATTTCTTTTGCAGTGCACTCACTTTTGTAGTATCCAGTCTTACCACAGTATGTGCAAATTTTGTTCTCATGAAGTGTGATATACTTGCTTTTGGGATCCCACTTAGGTGCAGGGGTTCCATAGCCAAGTCCTCTCCTATTGCTACCGTGGTGTTCTTGTAGCCATGATAGAGCATCAGAGGACTTATTCCATTTACAAGTTCTGTCTAGTTCATGCTTAACCTTGCTTAGATCTTCGTTTAGGACTCTTATCTGCTCGTCCTTTTTGTACAACTTATCCTTTATTTTTCCTAGATATTCTTCTAAGGTGAGATGTGTGTGATCATCTTACTTTTTACCTGTTCCTAGTTTCAGTTTCAAATTTTCAGATCTAAGCTCTAGCACAGTGGTGTCAAGTTCAAGAACATGGTTCTTCAACTTAGCATTTTTACTATCACTTTCACTAGCCCTGAGTTCCAGATTTTTGCACTTAGCTTTCAAGATTACACATTCCTGAGACAGCTGTTCCTTCTCATTGTTTATGACCTCAAAAATCTAGCAGTAACTCAGATAAATTTTCTTTAGACAAAAATTTAATCTTGTCTTTGAGATGAATCACACTTACCTCTGATTCCTCATCGGATTCTCCAATGGCCATTAGTGCTTGTTCATCTCCATCTTCAGTTTCTGAATCCTCATCTGAGCTCTTTCCCTAAGTAGCAACCATAGCTTTTGTTGATCCTTTGTTCTTCTTGGGATAAACCTGTTCCTTCTTCCTGTTTCTTCGTTCAGCCATTTCTTTCTTCCATTCAATTTCCCACTGAGGACAGTTTTTGATCATGTGGTCAGTCTTACCACATTTGTAGCAGCCCTTGCTGGTATGTTTTTCAGGGACCCTTGGTTTGTTGAAGGTTGCACCTCTTGAA